TGCAGAAGCCTTTCTCCAATCACCTCTTTCTCTTTCTAATCTACCATGCATTTTACTGTGAAAGCAATCTTCCTAAAATACTGCTTTATTTATCCCCAGACACAAGTTGTGAATTGTCCCTCATTGGCTACTCAATGAAACACAAAGTTAATTTTGACAGTGGACTATGGTTAGTTTCTTAAGATTAAGCTATTGGAATACATACATTAGGGTCAGAAGTTAAGTTTCCAACTTGGCTTTGAAGACAGTGGGGAACCATTGACACTCTTTTGTAGGAAATGAGCATCAAAAAAGTCATGCTGTTCTTAGAATAAAAAAGTTCCTGGGGCCGGGGATTTAGTTCAGTGGTGCCATCGCCTGCCTCGCAAGCTCAAGGTCCTGAGTTCTATCCCCAGTACAGCAAAAATAAATAGATAAGGTAGATAGATAGATAGATAGATAGATAGATAGATAAGTTTCTGACTGTAGGAATTCTAGTCACTGTGGCACCCAGCAGGGAGAATGTTAGAGCATCGAAAAATTAACTTTCACCCTTCTTCCAACCTATTTAAAGCTGACTCTTTTTTCTCTAGGAGCTATAAATGTGTCCACTCAAGGTTCAATTATTTCACCTGAACATTCACCTACCAAAAAACATCCCAGAACTTCACATTCACTTGTGGATCAAAAAGAAGAGGTATATAATATCTGTTTTCCTCCAAACACAAACAATCAATGAGAGATGATCTTATACACATTCATGGTTTTACAAATGTTTTTCTTTAACTAACCATACTGAATACCTTTGTTGTTTGGAAATTAGTCATACCATAATAAAAATGTGGTAACTATAGAACAATCTGCCATAATGTAAGCCATAATATTGTAGTTTATAATGTGCATCTGTACCTTTCAGAAAAATCAAATTTGACTTCTTGAGTTCAGCTGCTTCAAGCACTGATCAGTGATCATTTGCCTGCTATTGGAAAGTTACCATCATAGACTCGGGTCACGGCCTCTGCAAAGAAATAGCTGGCCTCTGTGGGTTGTCAGGTTGTTAATATGGGAACCAAATCCACATGCTTGGTCCCATTTTTAGCTTACTGTCCACTGGTTCACTCTGCTACCGAGTTAACACATTTTGATAAAGATGGCAAGAAACAAATTCTTCACCATAGAAAGTGACATCATTTTCTTTGTCCTATATTGCATAATAACTGACAGATTAAATTATCCAGAACTCCTACAATGAAATGTAGTTATCACAGTGTGCTTCTGTATAATAATTTGATCATAAATAACATTTGACAACCATTTGCTGGGCGTAGTTTACTATTCTGCTATGTCAAAAGCCAGATTAAATAAGCTAATAATCAAAAAAAGAAATTCCTTAAGAACATTGGCAATTGAAATTGTCATCTTGCCCAACATGTTCCAAAGACTGTGTCTTTATTTATGAAGGAAAAAAACCTCCTTTAAAAACTATGTCTAAATTTTACTCTTCACCTTTTTTGCCTAATGTGTGTCCTATTAACTTAACGTCAGGTGAGTGCCAGATGTTCAGAGGTAGCTAGTTTATTAGGAGAAACAAAATGAATATTTTGTTGTAAGTATTAAAATGTTTTCCAACATTGCACACAGCCTGTGATTGTCAGAAAATATATTTCTGGTGGCCTGTTTTCAGCTCTGAGGTCTGGAAAATAAAAGAGAAGTTGATTGTACTG